GAGGTTATTCATTATTCTTTTCAGTGTCACAAAAAAGGCCACCATGTTGTCGTGGTGTAAGACTTCTTCGTTAGAAATCGCTAGTGAGCTCCTTCAAACAGAATGTATCAATCCTCCCAAAATCTACATTGATGGCTAGTTAGTGGGGGGTCGAAATACCGATGTCGTTAATTCGTTTATTCTGACCCTGTCTCATACGCCCATAGTTTTTCGCAGCTAAGAAGTTGCTCCAACAAAGTTAGTTCCTCTCCTTTTAAAGAAATGTGTTAAATCCGTTATGAAATCAGCAGTACTCAGACTAGGTTTAAGATCCTCTGATTATTAAGGTGTTACGGACAAAAGCATTGTCAAGCACTAAACATCAGTAACATCACTAAGTCCTAATATACAAAATAAAGCCCTCTAAGTTTTTAAATTTCCTTCAAAACACAGGCTTGTTTCTAAAAAAACCTAAAAGTCTCAAAAGTATTTGGAGTTTGACAACAACTTAACTAGTAACACCTAACATAATCGAAACGTGCCAACCTATTGAAATTAGACGTCAGAAGCGAAGGGGTCCAAAGATATAGTTGATAGAATATCGGTATTTTTAGAAGTTGGCTAGCAGTTTTAGGGGATATGGAGCATGTTATATCCCGTCGAAGAATTACCTAGAGGTAACTTTCGAGGACTATTAATGGACTAATATTCTATAACTATTCTTATTGTATAACTATTCAAGAATTACATTATGTGTACTTATATTCCACTTATTATAAGCTTTAATTTGACCCATAGATTATTACTATACGATTTATTATTCTTGAGTTATAACCTGTCTATTAATTACCATCTCCCGCGTTCACAGCCACTTTTTGACTTATTTGTGTACACATGTTATTTTCTATTTTATGGTACGTTGTGGTCTGTCTGATTGATATATCAACCGAGTATGTCTGAAATAAATGATTTGATTCATATTACAGAAGCTGGTATTGTGTTCTGGACTCAAGAGGACGGGTTAGAAGGACATATGACCCAATAAGGGCGCTAGACTGCTCAGATCGGTTCAACGTCATTGGTCTTGTCATAGTGCGAATATTTGTATAAGCCGTATTCTGATTGGTGGATAAGTCACGTGATCGTAAGCCGGACATCAAATCATAAAAAATTGGCGACGGGGATTTCGGCAAGAAAAAGTAATACAATAATTGGTGACTCAGATCTTGGAAAGAAATAAGCTGTAATAACTGCCGGTGATTTTTTGAAATTAATATTATTATTAGCAGTAAAAAAAGAATATGGCGATTTCTTTAGAAAAGTTACAGTTATTATTACAGCAGCAACAGCAGCAATAATTTCAACAACAGCAGCAACAACAAAAACAGCAACAATTTCAGAAACAGCAGCAACAACAACAACAGTAACAATTTCAGTGAAATTAGACGTCAAAAGCGAAGGGGTCCGAAGATACAATTGATAGAATATCAGTATATTGAGGAGTTGGCTTGTAGTATTAGGGGATATGAAGCATGGTGTATCTACTCGTGATCTGGTGCGGATGCGTGATCAAGTTCCTTCAGCTGCGGTGTATCCAGTGAAAATAATATGGTCCACAGCAAATGTCGAAGAGTTACAAAACCATTTATTTTGGCGATTTGCTTACCACTACAAGTTCATTTTACATTTTAAGCCTTTAGCTAAGTCCTGTATGTAAAGTAGTCCATTTAAACCTATAAAACATGAACCTTGCACACCGATCACTTATGTTTATGATTTTCATAGTCATTTACTGTTTTTAACTAGTTGAGGTATTTCGACTTTAGATGTTCCCGCATGCTATCTCCCTGTCGATGATGGGATGCAATTTGACAAGTGCGATAAGTGGTATCATAAGGTTTGCGTCGGACTCACGCCAGCTGCATATAAAAGTCGATGCAAGCCATTACAACGTTGGCTGTTCTACAAAGCTTCTGCAGGTTCTAGAGACGATTGAACTGCTAAACATAGCTAGAAAATGACTCTTATATAATTAGGCAGGAGAAAATGAGTAAAATTCCGCTTTTCAAGAAATAGAGAGAAATATCATGAGATGAGCTCTGAATTTGAATGACACCATAAAGGTGGACCACATTAGGGAAGCAGATAACAAGCGTACAGATGCGAGCATTGTCACAAGAAATAAGAAAAAGCGCGCTGAGAAGAAACTACCTGTAGACAATACTAAGGTATGTGAATCTACGGTTTCAGCTCCGGATTCACATACCAACGCAATAAATCTATTGGGAAACGAAGTCTGGGCGGTATAGAATATGTGATCAATAGATAATGTTAGATCCAAACTAAGGTTTGGACTGAAGAATAGCTGTCTAGGTGGGTTAGATACGCGCCCTTGCCCAGTTGAAACCAAAACAAAATAATTGGGTAAAATGACGGTTCTATAATTCACCATAATTTTGAATGTACCTTGTTACCTAAACAAATACGACCATCCAGCTATCCAACCAATAATTGTCCAATTAGTCAAATCTAAATTACAATAAATAAGGAAGTTGATGAAGAATGCGAGAAAATTACCAATCGCAACAAATAAATGCTATTTTATCCTGTCTGGATAGATCACGCACAGATTCGTCCAAAAGATAATATTTGGTTGCTTTATAACACGTAGTGTTTTCAATTCTGGAAGAGTGCCTCAATTCGCAATCAAGAATACACAATTCCAGTCAATACGAGCAACACAATCAGAGGGAGGAAAAAACCAATATGGCTGCCGCCAAGACCAAGTATCAAGTAAAACAACATAAGTGCAGTTCAGGAAGAAACATGGAAACTTTTGTTGAAAGCGTAAGAAAAATAAAAGCCATGATAAAATACAAATGTTGCCAACTCAAATGGAATGAAAAAGACTAACAAAAATGTACAACTAAAAGAATCAATAGGAACAAACTGCAAGTGTATACATGAAGGGATTTTCACACACAAAACATTCAAAATGGATCTTGCAATAAAATAAGATAAATGTGTGGCTCACAGTCACACCTAGGAAAATAAATGTAAGAAAACAGAATGTGACCTCACTGTTTGACGCTAAATTGAAATCAAACTGCAGGGAATGGACGATTTCAGGAAATAAAATTGCACAGTGTGCTAAAACGGACCTCGCTGAGAGGTCGGTTATTTTTCATAAGTCAAGACAATCTTCCGAAAAGGAACGAAATGCCAGACTTGAGCACGACCTCAGTCACATTAATTCCTCAATAAGCTACTCTCAGAGACAGTTTCAGGAGTTAGCATCTGTATGCTTTACAAAATGTCGATATTGGAAGTACTCAGATGAGCCGCTTCTTGAAGGTTACCTTTGCTACGGTTGAAGAAAGAAACCTGATACCGGGAAACTCACTGAAACTGATTGGATCCGGATTATTTGGTCGTGAGGATCCCAACCTGGTTGACCGTATTAAGAGAAGAGCTGTAGAAATAGAAGTAAGTGAGCGACGTCTAAACGGTGTGAAAAACCTCGTTTATAAAATTTTTCAAATTGTAAAGGTTCGGAGCTGAACGATACGCAAGCCACTCTGGGTGGTAAGTGAAAGCTCTTCATATAATTAAAGGTGTGCTACACAAATGCTCGCAGCCATCTAAATAAAATGGCAAAGCTCAAGACAATAGTGGATATTGAAAAACCGGATTATTAGTGTAAAGAATATAATTGTATTCTGACTTATTATGGAAATGTAGTGTACAACCGAAGCTTACACTAGTTCGACCATTAATCTTCCCACTATCGAGTTGCTTCACCAAAATAAAAGACGATCTCCATGAGAATGGTTCGTTGATGCTCTTTCTGGCTTTCGAGATATTTTATGAGGCCTGACTGCGAGATATATTTCGTCAAATGAAGATTCGTTAAGACAATTACGGTTGTGTTTAATGCTGATATTTTCGCATTGATACACTCATTCAGTCAGTCAGCTACAACGTAGCACCAGGCACATATATACATCAGTACAAGTTGCCACAGCTCATTATTAGCACAACAAGATGAACACCAGATTCTTTGAAGTAGTTAATTTAATAGTAGTAATATGCAAAACAAATTGTATATAAAGGTATAATACAGAAATTAAGAGTTAGTCCGTAGAAAGAAAGGTATAAAGCAATTCGAATCTCACAGTTTAAGAGTAGACAAATAGTTTATACACCTATACCATTGTGATTGATTCCGAGCCATGTCAACCAGAGTCTCCAATCATTCGTTACGATAATTGCGCAGACCCCAACCAAGTGGTCTGCATCTACCAACATTGCTAAGACCAAACGTTAGTAACTTCAAGAACTGATGCCACGTATTGGTTCGGCCTGCCTTAACTTTCTTCCAACCATCCCCAACACCAGTTAACATTGCACGTCGTGGTAATCGGTGTTCAGACATACGTAACACGTGGCCTCACCATCTCAGTCGATGACGATTCATAACCTCATTAACTGATTTATCATCATTCCCTAACACCCTGCGTCTAACCTCACTATTACTTACCCGATGATCCCAGCAGATGCGAGCAATATTTCTAAGGCATCTGTGGTCAAATGCAAGTAACTTACGAGTATCTTGTACTCTTAAAAGCCATGTTTCGCAGTCGTATAGTAGAACGCAATGAACTGCCGAGCAGTATGCTCGTCCCTTAATTGATAGACGAATATCTCGCATTTGCCATAAGTAACGTAAGTTGGCAAAGGCCAAACGAGCTTTTTGGATGTGTACAGATATTTCGTCAGACACCAACTCATTAAGACTAGTCAGACTTCTAAGGTAAGTAAAGTTGTCGACGTGTTCGACTACTTCACTCTCTATATTTAGTTGTCACCACAAAAGTAAACATCGTCATCGCAACAATCATTCTCAATATGAGAGGATAGAGAAATGTGGATACGGTGTTAGTTCTTCTTGCACAGAACAGAACTTAAATGATAGTCATGAGTTATCAAGTGTCATTTTAAATTCACTGCCTGTCAAAAATATGCCTATCGAAGAATTTCAATCGGGGACGTCAGCTGTCCCTGGAATGCACCAGATACACTGTCAACGTAAAATACTTCACTTATCATGGCATCCAAAGAAATTCCTTACAGTAGCTCTATCGGGTAATCAGATGTTTCTTGTTTCAGGTCAGCCGACATTCAGTGGTACATTGCCTTCACAGAAGGATTCGAGTCATTGCTCTTCCTGTTTATCTAAGTCAACTGACGATGAGAACAACATATCTAGTGGACAATGTGAAGCGAGATCCACACCTATAAGAGATAAAGCAACTTCTATTTCATTCAAAAGTTCAAACGTGAAAGCTGCTAAACGTCGTCGCCGACGTTATCATCAACCAGATGGTTCAAATTTGGTCAATGCTTTCCCCAACTTAACTGATAGGAGAGAGAATCAAATTTCTGATATTGATGTCCTTCCTGATGGTTCTGTGGTTCGCGGAATGGATTACACAACGAATTATGAAGCTGACCACGAAGATAATTATGATGAGCGACATACCTCTGAAACACAACTAGATTCTATAAGCTCTGATCCGAAAAGTGAAAGCGTCCCATGTATAAATTCCTTATTTCCGTTATCAAGAGAAACATTCTCAACTAATTTGAACGATGTTTTACAGTGATCATGTTTTTCTTATCATTTTGATTGTCTTCCTTACCATGTCTCCAATTTTTGCCTGACTTCATCTCAGGGTTGACATATTTCCATTATCAATTTCTAAATCATCAAAGGTGTCGTTGTTAATGCTGAAAGAGTATTTCATATATTTTGGGATAAATGCACAATAGTACATGCATAATAACATACGCACACACACGTAGGCGGGCAGAGAGACATGAGTTCAGATATTCATAATCTCTTCCCTGTAAGAATGCTGACTCACAATATCATGTTGCACACTGCTATTTTATAGTCTTCTATTAAGAAATATATTTCCTACCCATCATTTCCCTTTGCAATGTCTATTCATTCTGAGCTTGATTGTGTTTCATCCGCATAAGATATGCGTGCCTTTACAGTACAAATTATTGTAAATGAACTCGAAGAATTGTAAATGACTAACTGGAAATCTTTTCCCTAGGTTGTATTCCATTTCAAAAGTATAACGTTGTATATTTTTCGTGCATTTCTAATTTAGCATAAATTATACAACATGAAGTTGTTGCTTTTATCGTCATAATCATTTGCATCGCTTAGCTTTCTGATCTCGGTTTACGGTCATCGTCATAGTACCGTTTCAGCATTGTGAAATCCAGTTCGCCTGACTTTATTAGTAGGCCTTCGTTTGTATTCATTGATAACAGCTGACTGTTACCTCTCATAATTATTTCTAGGTATTGATCGGATCATCTGTAAATTGTTTTTTGCCAATGACTTCATACCTATTAGTGTCTACGGCCTTTCAAGTAACGGTTTGAGCCTGTTTATTATCTCAGAAACACATAATGCATAAGAATCGGGATTCAATATGCATTCATCCAATGAATCTCATTGAATGTGCTTCAATACCTTGGATCCTTCGACTTCACTGTTTAGAGTAACATGAGAATCAGATGAATATTAGTGACTCGGTAATTTAGAAAGAGAGAAAGACTGTGTTTTTTGCGTCAACCTTTGAGGTAGGCATAAACTGAGGATCGAAGAGACACAAGCAAACACAAAACACTTTGCACTCAATAATTTATTTTCAGCATCTATCGTGTAGAGCAAGAAAGCTAAAATATTGTGGATAGACTTGCATTTAATCAAACAATTTTAAAGCATCAATACTACTAATACTACTAATACTGATACAAATTAATTAATATCATTTGATGAAACGATATTGTCTTCCGTCCCATTCTCTGAGTTAAACGTAGACTCCTACAAGAAAGGTAAATGTTGAGTTGATGAGTATTTAGAGTAATTCGAAGGAATAGAGGTAAACAACACAAAGTACATACTCGATGAAGTCGATTATTGATGGACCATACAGCGCCAATGTGAATAAAATAGTTCTGACCGATGTAAAGTAGCAAGGACATAAATGCATCATGACTGATCAGTCACTTATTTTGCTTCATTCACTGCACAATATATTCCCACGAATCTCCCAAATATTGATCAGTAGTCAGTAGCATGTACACAGTAATGCAATATAGTTGTTTCCTAATCAATCCGTGCACAAATATATGCCTTTCTAGACCAGTGCCAACACTAAAAATGCCGTGGATTAAAACAGTTTTTCGGCGAATTGCACTGAACTCACGTATCTAGATGAATTCCCTCGAGTATGTTGAACACGTAAAATCAGTGAATATGTGATATTGATGATATGCGTCTGGAGTCATCTTTGTTGCAGAACTCAGGTTTCATCTCAGATGTTAGATCGCACACTGACAACGTTGATTGTGACCCAATCGCTTTTGTTACTCATGGTCGAAATCCCACTGGACGGCTTCCATATTTCATACATTTCCGCAATGTGATAATGAAACGTTTACCGCCTTATGATAAAATTTCAAACGACTTGCATGAGTAAGAGGATACTGAGTAAGTGCAAAGATAAAAGTGAATGGACGTCAGTTGCACATACCATACTGGTGATGCACCTCTTCATCCATTGCATTTGTAACCCAGATGACTCTATCTATAGGAGACATAACTGAACACCATATTAGTTAAGAGTATTTTCAAACTTACATTTCAGATAATTAATCCTGTGAATTTCGAGGTTTTGCACTTTACTCTTCAACTCAACTGTGAATTAAATTGAAGTAGTATTCCAGAAAAATAACTATCCAGAGCACAAATGTGAATCGGAATTAAACGAATTCATAACAACTGTAGTATCAGTGTGTTCCTAATATACTTGATGAGTTAGTGGTGTGAAAGCTTAGCTGAAAACTGTGGAAGGTTTCATCACCGATTCAACGGAACAGTCTATTTACCCCGCATAATATGGGAGTTCATTGTCTGAGTAGACGCAGTAAAAATAGTTGTGTGAACATGTTTGTTTCCGTGTGTGACACAAATGTTTTGGAATTGTTTGGAAAGATAGAAAGCATTACGCACGTGGTTTTATTTAGTTTTAATGATTTAACCACTGATCTTACCCAGTGAATTGTTGAAAGTTTTGTAAATTTTGTCAAATTGATTAGTTGGGTTTCTTGAGTCCGTTGTATCTGCGAAGAGTGAGTTATCCGTGATAAAGAGAGATGGAAAGACCGAGTAGAAATACAATACATATTAATGTAAGCAACTGACAGACATAAACTGCCTATGTGATACATCGGTTTGTGAAATGATTACAATCAAAATGTATACAACTACGATAACAGATAGATAACTGGGAAATCTGTTGCTAAATAATGAAGTCTGGCATTGAATAAATTACTGAAACGGACACCTCCATACTTTTATGTTGTTTCTCCACATGGCTTGGTTCGATGCCAAGAGACGTTCCCGTTTCCTCTGTCATGATTACAATTGGGATATTGAACGTCTGGTAGTACTTTATTCCAGTGATCGATAGTGAATGACGCCTGAAGTTGTTATTATTCTTTTTATATATTACGCATATTGACGACTTGCTTGTCAACTAACCTTTAACTCGCTGTGACTCCAAATATTTTTCTACAGTTGACATGCAGTTGACCTCGGATTTAGCTATGAACAATGAAAAACAAAATCACCACAGTCATTTGATATCGACAAATGTGTGGCTGAAGTTGTAGGGAGATTAAAGCGATCATAAGATTTCAGTCAATGTATCATGTGGTACCGTCAAACGAGAACCAAGATATACAGGCAACACTTATTTATTAACACAAATTAAAACTCAGGCTACACTTGCTTCGGTGTATCTTCATCTCACTCTCAGCACATTTGAATTTATCTCTTTTTGAATAGTATTCGAAACCTGTTTTGAATATGGCAATTAAATGCACGAGAGTTGAAAACAGTGACTTTCTTTATTGAGGAAAATGTTGAATGACAATAGAAATTTATAAAATCGAAAGCTATTTGATCGTTTCCACTTCTATGCAATTCAAAATATTAGGTGAAATTAAGTGAGAGCATGCAAAGTCAGTCTTATTCAACTGAATATCGTAAGAAATAGTGATAATAATAAATGTGAAATTTTCTCTGGTATGTAGTCTACGTTTAATAATAGTCTATAGGTCTTTCGTTCATTAGAAATATCAAAATGTTTACCTACTAATTGAATAAGTAGTGCCATATTTACGCGATCCTTGAAACCATGCTTCCAACAAATTCATGCTATTTAGATAACAATAATGGTAATTGTAGAAATCATGGGAATGGATTAAACTTGCAAATAGTAACGAAAACTAACTTCAAAATAGGTATATTTTAATTTTGCTCACAAGCAATTCTACCGGATAAGTAATTGGAGGCTACATAGATCGGTTTGCAATCTTGTGTCTGAATATAGAAGCTATTAAGTGTGATGTAATTTCAGCTCACTTTCCTCATGTTTGTTGGAAGAGATGAACATATTCTGCTCAGTAACGTGTTTTTCCATACTAGCCAGTTTCGGCTTTAGTACGTGAACGAACAAATCAGATTGCTATGCGAAATTCATTCTTGCACCACAGCTGATGTTGATTCCTGATGAGGGCTGATAATTCACTTATGAATGTTCATTAGTCTTGTTAATTTTGTTTGCCATTTATAAGTGCTTTACTACATTTATCCTAAGTAACTTCGCAACCAAACGTTATTTTCTTGTTGACTAAAGTGTGGTTCATCGTTATTCAAAAGCTTTCTTTCCACTGAACGATATATATTCGTTAATGCAATATGGAAGAATGCCCAGAAGTTCAAGGGCTGTGTGCTCGAATTGCGAATGCAGGCTGAGAAATGCGATGTAAATGATTAACTGCAAATTAAGCCTCTTAATCGTTCGATTGTTGATGTAAACATTTCGAATTTGGAAATATAGTTGATAACATGCCTTAAAACACTTTTCGGGAAATTAAAAGGGTTTGCAATAACAAGGACAGTATAAATGAATTCGATCTCGATTCATCAAAAGTTTCCGATACTTGGCTTGGGCGTCATGATGAGATGCGCTTTCCAGTAATATCATAATCTATTCTGACTCGTCCTGTCATTTCATTCAATGTGTGTTATTAAACAGTTTTACAGAATACGTTAGAGCTGGGATGAGGATGGTACATTTAATGACATATATTTGTATTCCGGTGTTTGTCGACATCCGAATGCGAATCTCTTCGATTATCCTGTATTGTACCTCAAGAATAGGGTGTTTGAGAGCTAATGCCATTACATTTCATTAAAACACAACACGAAGCTACTCCATTATGAAGAACATTTTGCCTTCTAACAATAGCTGTGTGAGTGTGAGAAATGAGTTGAGCTGTGAGCTCTTGCGCACATATTACGTTTTAGCGAGTATTTTCAATGATCTTATTCCTCAGCTGTGAACAGAAATTTTGCGGTCACTTGTCAATTTTTACAAGATTTGTGCTTGTCTCATAGCTTTTATTGCAGTACGTAGTAGTTTGATTTAGTTGTTTTCCACTTTGTGGGTGAATGTCAAGTCAATGTTCGCATGGTCATTTGAACTTATCTTTACACAAGCAAGTGAGTATGATTATTGTCAAACTTGTTAAGCTAAACTGGGCTTTTGAACTCATAACACATGATTTCACACTCTAAAGGATGTTGACCAACAAGGATGTCCATAAGTTGTTTAGCTAATGTAGGTTGAGGCAATTCTGAGTTCATTCATTTTTTAACATTATGTAAATTTCTGGTTTACAGCCATGTACACTCCTAACCATCGTATGCGTTATCGTTTTCTGACGAAAAATATCTGAGAAAGAGGAATTATGGAAAACCATCGACTCTTATAATCTTTTCTATCGACTTTCTGAACAGATGCAGAAACAGAACTAAAAGTGTCCCATTAATTTATCACATATTCTTCACAAATAAAACGATGTAATTTGTTTTTAACAATGTAGCTGAGCGACGTCGTCAGTTAGTAGGGACTTATGATATGTCTGTAATAGAGACCTAGAATGCGTTTCTGTAAATAGCATCTGCGACCACTGAACAAATTATCATCAGTAATCTAATGCATAGTGAAATTTTCGAATTAAACAGCGCTGTCCGATGTTTTTTAT